CCTGGGCCCCCCCGGGGTTCCCCGACCCTCGGGGGGCGCTGTCCCTATTCATGCTGAAGCCGGGTGTGGCTGGCCAGGCAGGCTTTCCCTGAGCTCAGCTTGACATCGCACTGATGCAGATCTTTGCAGCCCGCCTTGGTGCAACCACGCCCATCATTGAATGGCTTGCAAATCTTCTGGCCCCCTTTCAACATAGAGATAGTGGGCCATTTGTCCGTCTTGACCATGCGCCGCTCCTTGGCAGGGCCCTTCTCCTGTGGCTGATCGCTCTCCGTCATGCGCCGTTTTGGGGAGGAACCTGCCTCAGGCAAGGTTGGCTGGACCCCCGGGGCGCGCCAGTCAATATGGGTTTGGCGTAATGCCTCCTCCAGTGCAGATTGCCCTGTGTAGCCACGGCGGATGAGGGAAGCCATCTTGGAGCGTGTGTTGATGTCATTCCTCTCCAACCACAGTAGGCTGCCCTGCCCGAATTCCATGGTGAATTGCAGGGCTTGATCTGCATATGACATAGCTGGGGTAAGGGGCATGAAGACCTTCTCATTGCCATCGAAGTCTGACACCTTGTACAAACCTCCCCACGCCCAGGCATAAGCCAAAGTGCGTAGTGAAAAGTAGTACTCCACCACGGTGCGAACGATACGATGGTCGTCGGCTGCGAACTCAAGCTGAACGCCCGCACCCAGGCGGACTGATTCTTGTTGCTTGGGCGCCGATTGGTGGAGGATAGAGCGGACCTTTGCCACGCTGATGACCGACATCGTCCTCTTGCGGAATTCCCTATAGACACGGGACCGAAGGGCGTCTGATGGTTCCAAGAACGCATCCAACACCACACCATACTTGGTGGCAAAGTCCTTGTGAAGTTGTTGCATTGTCGATTCGGGGAGTGTCTCATCAACCGCCTCTGGCTGTTTTGCTTCTGCAGCGGCTGCACGAATGGCCTCCAGGCCAGCTGCATGGGCTGCTTTAAGCCGCGCCCGCAACAACCTGTTGTCCTTCATCTTGGTGGGCTGGAGTACCTGATCCAATGATGTTTCCATGGAAGACTCATTGAAGTAGTAAACAAAATCTTCCAAGGTTTCCCACTTGTGGATGTGGACTAACTCACTCTTCCACTCCTCCAGGATGTTGGCCCCAGCGAAGCAGGTTGTCAATCCACGGTCATCCTGATATGTATCAATGCGCCTTGAACTGCTCATGGTCGTAGGGGCACCACAAACGAGAGCTTGAGTGAACTAGCTACGATCCCTGTGAGCCCGGAGCTGGGTTGCGACAAAGCAAACTCCCAAAAAAAAAACGCGGACCTACCACCCTGTCCGTCCGAACGAATGACCACGCCCCGACGCCCTCCCCATTCCGGTGGCATCCGCGGCGAGGCCAAACCAGGTCACAGACCGAAGGTGCCCCCCTTCAAGCCAACCCCAAGGGGGGAAAGGAAAAGGGGGTAGGGGACCCAACCGAAACGACCGACTGGGAACAAACGACGTCGGAACGGTCGGTGACCAAGTCAAAACCGAACCCCACCTAGACGCACGTCGACCCCGACCCAGCACCCCCACAGGGCTCTGGCCCCTCGGCTTTTTATACACTCAGTGCAACCATCCGCACTGGTCAGCCAGGGAGGCATAGAGGCCTCGTGGCATGCGTGCCAGGCATCGCTGGCAAAACTGGCTCCGAACAACCAATCCGAAGCCCTCGCCCTGGCTCTTGGGGTCTTGGGCGAAAGGTGAATCCCGGCAATACGGCAGCTGGCGCTCATCGACCACGCCACTGACAATGTGGACTCGACGGCTTTGGACGAACCACTTGGCTTCTGTGATAGCCGCCTCCTCTGCCAGGACACCCTCCAAGTCGCTGCCCATAGCCGAACAGTCCGACGCGGACGAGGAGGTAGTAGACGAAGAAACCGACTGGGCCATCGGATCAGCTTCCACCACCGGGGGTGTGACGTTGTCTACCTCCTCAGTCTTAACCTCGTCTGCTGGGCCTGCCACAGGCAAGGCACTCCCCGAGGCTTCCAAGGGCGGTGTCTCTGATGGGGGCTGGACCTCAGGCGTCATCAATGCTGCCTCCAACGGTCCAAAGCTCTCGTTCATCTGGGCTAACTCTGGCCAGGTCCAGGCATCACGGGCCACGAGACCATCTGCATTGAGGGCCAGTTCCGGGAGCTTGCGCCGAAGTAGGTGGAGGAACCTCTGAATCAACGCCCTCTTGACTGCTGCGGAGTGCAACACCTTCTGTCCAGCGTAGTGAAGGCCCATTGACCATACTGCTTTGCTCTTACGAACTGGTTCGGGGCCTCCGGCACTGGGGACCTCCTGCCAGTTTCCAATGGCCTGCTGGTTTGATGGCTGCAAGCCACACACCAGGCCCATGGTGGGCAGAAAACGGCGCAGTCTATTGTAGCCAGCTCCCCGGGCCTGGGCATGATCCACCTGCATGGTGATGAGCGCACCACGAAGGAGTTCCAGAAAGCGACCCCGCGACATCTTCCTGTTCACCAGCCACGCCGTGCCCTCGGTGACCTCCCAGAGATCATCCGAGCTGAGTTGGAGGGCCGGCCACAGGAAATTCAACTGGGGGTTCAGCTCCATGGTCACGAAGTCCCTCACAATACGGTGGATGCTGAGCCCTTGGAACTCCAGTTCTGGCATAGCCCCACGAGTAGGGAGGTCGCGCTCCACGTCGTCGAGCTTTGCCTTGGGAGCACTCGAAGATCAGGCACTGGGGGTGGCTCTCAATGTAATGTGACCTTTGAAAATGTTCAAAGCGTACACACGAAATAGCTGCCCAGACAAAAAATGTCAAAATCAACAAGTGGGTACCTGATGCTTTCTTCATCATCAATAACAGGTTCACCAGCTCCCAGGGCTGTAGTTCGGTCCTCTGTTGTACCCGATGATCAGGTGGGAGCAGCCTGAAGGGTTGGGTAAGCCAATGATCTGTATTGAAGTTGAGGCCAAAGGTAACCCTGAACCACTTCAAGGCCTGGAACATCGAGGATGCTGCTGTAGGGCCGCCCTGGGCCACGGCGCGAAAGAATTCGCCCAACTGGAGCGGTGTTGGCTGGGCAACGGCGAAAGCCTTCTCAGAGGCGTACCGCTGCCATCGCCGCAAAGCCGCCAGCAGGGCGCCAATCCTCGCCTCAGTGAGGCGTCCGGTTGACTGCATAATCTGATCCTTGAACTGCTGCAGTCGCACGGGATCGCTCAACTCTTCCCAGGTCACCCCCAGCTCGGCGATGTTGAGGAAATCGCTCAGCAACAGGTCAAAGAGGGCCTGAGTTTTGGTGGCCCTCTTGGCTTCAGCCTTGGTGTGGGGATCGGCTGCCACGGCTGCAAGTAGCATTGGTGGTCGCCCTGGGAACCCAGTCTCCAGCAGCTGACGAACGTGTTTCTTGGGACCTGTGCCTTGAGGTGCCACCACCATTGACGTGGTCTCCACGACCGAATCACGGTTCCCGATCACCGCTCTGGCAACGCGCCTGTGGTGATCTTGGGCCCGGCGAGCGGCAAGCGTCCATAAGGCGCTAACCTGGAATGCTTCTTCGGCGTCCAGGGGGCCTTGGATGTGCTCAAGCTCCGACACCAACTCGCCGCCATGGGACCAAATGCCAACCACGTCCTGGCAGGTCTGGACGCCCTGGTGGCAAAATAGCTGCACCAACTCATCCGAGCGCTCGGCAACCAACTCCAGCAAATCGGCCTCCATGGCCTGGTCCGGTTGGCGCACAGTCACAACCGGAATGCGGCCGCGCCCAGGCGACACAGAAGGCGACCGCGGCCTCCTCAGCCTCAGTGGAGGAGGTCCAGGCGGGGGCATGGGCTGCCTAGGAATTGCCTGCCTCGGTGGAGGCACTGGAGGCTGCTTGGGAGGTACCGGACAGCTGCTCTTTGATGAGGTCTCTGGCCTGCTGGGCTGAGATTCCGAGGATCTGCGCGACCTCCTCAATGGAGACCTGGCTGGAGGTAGCTTCGAAATGGGGTGAATTGGCCCTGTCACCCCACCCGGTGATCTCGACCTGGTCCTCGGTGTCTTGGCCTCCGTCTTCGATGTACGCGGCATGGCCTTGCTCCCAAGAGATGTGATCAAACCTGCACTGATCACAGACCAAGTGCAGGTGATCACACTCAGCGCACACCGCCCCAAAGCTCTCAGGCCGGCGGAAATAGCAGCCCTCGCACCAGGAGGCTGTAAATACGCCACAGCAGCGGCAATGGTCAGCCTGCACGTCCGGCCGGCGCTCAATCGTGTCCCAAATCGACACGATGTAGGCTGACCTGGCCCCCAGATCAGCGCGTCGGTCCTCAACCGACAACTCGCAGGGATTGCTCCCCCGGTGCCCGCGCCGCCACCGCCGCGCCCCCGGTTGCCACACCGTGAGCGACGTGCGGCGAATCGCCGGCATGGCGAAAAACAAATCCCTGCCCTGATCTTGATGCCATTTTGGCATCAAGATCAGGAGTTACCCCTGTATGTTTCAAATCCCAAAATGTCCCTACCCAACCATCCATTCATTTTGGGAAGATAAGAAATCACATGGGAGACAAATGAATAGAAATGCTGCGTGGCTATCCGAAAAGGGCGGACACCAGCAGTGCAGGCGCCGAACCTGGGAGACAAAAGTAAAGAATTCACCTGGGAGACAAATGACTAGACATGCTGCATGGCCAGCAGAAAAGGGTGGACACCAGCAGTACAGGCACCGAACCTGGCAGACAAAAGTACAGAAATCACATGGGAGACAAATGAATAGAAATGCTGCATGGCCAGCGGAAAAGGGCGGACACCAGCAGTGCAGGCACCGAACCAGCAGTGACAGAAAGGGCGGACACATCTTAAGAAAGAATTGAGAACCCCCAACAGTAAACTGTTTGGGGGAAAAAAACGTTGGAAAGCTGCTTGGTGGACTGTTCCTAAGAATAAGTTCCTGATTCCACACAAGAAAATTGTGATGGGGAAACATGCTGACAAGACCCACCCAAGCACATCTGAGGAGCTTTTCAATGTGGGGCCGAAGGTGGCTCTAATCAAGAAGCGAGCATTCCGCTGCTTCTCGCTGGCAGCAGGGGGCGCCAAGTGTCCATGGTGTCTTAAGCACACGTGGTCTTCGATTTCTTCACCTCCAGAAAGAGAGAGAGAGAGAGAGAGCCATTTCTGGCGGCGTGCGGGGCACCAAAATCATCCGACTTGCAGCACCGAAATGACCATCATTTAGAAATCGCATGGGACGTTGGGACGTAACACTGCCAAGGTAAACTCAAGTCTGTATGTGACCAAAGAGGACCAAGGGGCTTCTACAAGAACTTGCAATTTGAGGGGAGGCCCCGGCGAGAGTGCCGTGAACATCAACGATTTCAAGTGCACAGCGAGCTGCACAGGAACACTCACATCGGTGCGCTTGATACATCAAAGTTTGTTTCCAAAATGAGAGGGCCAACGAACATTTCGACTATCCATATCAATTTTGTTTGAGAAAAACAAATCCAAATACCTTGAAGCATGCCAAAGAGTGCCCTCCGGCCTGCTTGTATTCCACCCAAGCCCGTCCAAATGTCACATCGGCCGACACTGAAGTCCAGGCCCATGCAACCGAGCGTTTGCCGACAGGTCTCTTTGCACGCCTCCAAGCTCGTGACCTGCTCTGAAGGTTTCCAGCCAACTTGTAACGACAAACCAAACAACCAAATTGACCCAATGTGAATGTGGACTCAAGTATGCAAACAAAAGGCCAAGGTCCTGCCGGGGTCCCAGTAATCACACCCACGATGCACAACACCAAAACCCATTCAACAAGTGTGGTTCCATCCTCCTGTAAGTATTATATATATAGAGAGAGAGAGGGGTAAACCCATACAACATCCACCAGAAAACGGGACCTGAATGCGCATCGCATCCAATTCTCATCTCCGATTCTTTATCACATCCTGGGCGCTGAAATCTGCATGATGGATTTGGGCTCGTGGTCGGAGCTTGCGCAGGCCACCCCTTTCTCGCTGTCCACATGAGTGAACTCTTTTTTGAGGCCTCTGTCAGGGGAGTCTGCCGAATGAACATGTGGGGCTGAATGACTTCATAAGCAGAAGCTACTAGGGGCTCCTGGCATCGCTACTAGGAGCAAGGACGCTACTCGGGGCTCCTGGCACTAGGAACAAGAAGCTAAATGGCTTCGTCTTCGGCCAAAACTGTGCCTTCCTGCCTTGCCGAACTGCGGTGACCGACGACACACGGCAACCGCAACCGATTTGCAAGTCGCTCGTGAGGTGGACGAAAGAACAACTGTGACAGTCACTTACACCACGCAGATCGCTCCACCTTGATAGCTGTATCTCTAATCCTAGTGGTTCCACATGGTAGCTCAACCAACTGTACCACACATTTCTCGTAGCTAGGTTCAACGTTCAAAAGGAACAATGGAGAACCGGTTTTATTGGTGGTTCTTTTTACGCACCTGCAGAAGGGTTTAAACCCCCGTCCACTTCCATCCCAGCCGCAGGTGGAGCCATCCCTTTGCACTGAAGACTGGACGTCCATGAAACTCGTCCACAGCTTGCAGGAACCGCCACGCCCATACTCCACCCCCACCTCAACAACAGAGTAAACGCTGTTTTAAACGCTTTTAGACCATGTTTGGATCAAGTTTTTGCGACGCTGTAGTAAAAACATCATAGTTGTTTTGCAATGATTCAGTCAAAATTCCAATGCCGGCAACATGGTCAGAACTGCTTTAAGTGCCTGTTTGCAGCAGAATCAGAAATCAAAGAAACACGTCAAACACCCTGGTTGTGCAAAAATATCTCATAAATACCGTGGTGTTGGGCTTGCCGAGGTTCAAAAAAAACAGCATCTAATTACAGTGTTTGTTTTCCCGATGGCTCGAAAGAGGTGCAAATAAAAATATAAAATTGTTGTTTTGGTATCTAGTACCTATATATGAATTAATTTAAACATGGAGTGACAAACATAGCTGCTATGATGGTAAAAAGAAAGCCTAGCGATGCTTTGAAGTACCAGCGCATGCACCAGCGATGCTTTGTTCTTCGCACATGCGAGCGCGCACCTGGTACCACCACCTACCTAGACATGCATTTGTACCAGTTGAGCTTGTACATGGGTGGTTGACCCTGCTCTACAATACATCAGGCAACAATCCCGGAATAGTAAAAGTGCACTTCCCACAGAGCTGTCAACTGGGTGGCCTCTGCTTGGGACAAAGTCATACTAAGTGCATCGATACTAGTGTGCATTACGCAAAGAGCTACGTTCGTAGCTTCTTGCTACTAGTAGTAATGCACTTGCTACTAGTGGGGATGCACCTGTTACGTTCATAGCTTCTTGTTACCCCCCTTGTGAGGGTCATCAAAATCTTAAAGGTTCAAAGTGTCCCGCATGTGAAATGTTTGCCGCCAGCAGCTAAGGCTAAGCCGCCTCAAGCTTTTTGAAGAGCAAACAAACGAGACTGACAAATCAGCCCCTGTGGTCTGCCACGCAGTCCAGCACAAAGAATGGCAAATGAAACAAAATTACACCAGCATAGACCCAGATAGCTGGGCAGAATCCCACGACCTGTTGACATGCGACTGGCTGGAACAAGAATGTAGGCAGCTTGCGCAGCCTTACGGGCAGTGTGCGTGGTGGAGACAGCGGCCACCGGTGCCGGTGGTGTGAGCTGGCAGTGCGCGTGGTGAAGACTGCTGCGCGCGTGGTGGAGACAAGGTGCCGGGTGCTGGGTGCTGGTGCTGGGCTGGGTGCTGGTGCTGGTGCTGGGCGCCGTGAGCTGGCGTGCCGGTGCTCGGTGCTGGTGCCCGCTTCTGACAGTGAAGTGATAACAACCGCCGCTTCTAACAGTGAAGGGTAACAAACTGCCGCTTGCAGCAGTGAAGGGTGACCAAGCGCCGCTTCTGACAATGAAGTGCCAGCATTCAGGGGCCGCATGAACTTATGCACACAACATCACGCGGCGTCGTCGCTTGGGCGTTCTTTGTCTATTAGCGCTGTGGCGTATTTACACTCTTCAGGTTCTGTTTTGGCCGACAGCTGTGTCAAGGGCTGCACTGCTTGCACGCATACTTTTGTACGTATACCGTATAATGTTCTATGCGCAACGTCAGCACCAGTGCCAGCACTGGCACCCAGCACCAGCAACCTGTCTCCACCACGTGCACAGCCAGCTCACAGCACCAGCACCGGCACCCAGCACCCAGCACCAGCAACCTGTCTCCACCACGTGCACAGCCAGCTCACAACACCAGCACCAGCACCGGCACACAGCACCCAGCACCAGCACTGGCACCAGCAACCTGTCTCCACCGTGTGCACAGCCAGCTCACAGCACCAGCACCAGCACCGGCACCCAGCACCAGCAACCTGTCTCGAAAGCGCGCACGGGCAACTCATTGTTATTTGAAGTAAGAACCCCATAGCTTGCTATCTGGGGAAATATGAAAACCATGTCCATTAAACAATGCAAGTAAATCAATGAAATTATATATATTATTGGCATTGTTTTTTCACAAATTCAGTTTTGTAAAGGGCTTCCCCTTGCGGGGTTCGATTGGCATCACCACCATCACCCCTAAACGCTCCAGGCCACGCAGGTCTTGTTTTCTTTGCATGACATCTTGCAATGACTTAGAGAAAGGGACTTCTCCACCAAGTATGCGTGCTCCGCGTCCTCCCCGCAGGCACGATGGCTGCCACCGTGGACGGGCAAGAAGTCCGCGTCCTCGCGATCTCTACCGCAAAAAGGGTCGAGGAAGAGATCGGTGGTTCGAAGTGTGTGGAGATTTGCGGTGCAAATTTAGTAGCAGGAGGGGGTTCAGGAGGTAAGGAGCCACCCTCGGCAACTGCACATCCACAAGAATCCACGCAAGTGAGTTTGTAAATTACACATGGCCACCCTTTGTTGCCTTGCTGATTCCTGCCAAGGGCCAAGGGCTCACCCCACATGAACAAAATATGCGGACTACTTGTAGTGAAATACATTGGTTTCGGTGATGTAGGTAAGTAGCGTCATGGTCTGAGAATTTGGGAGGGAAGTGTGCGGATAGACTGATAGACTCACCTGGAAACATGTCTTTACGGTGTGGCGTTTCATTCAGGGGACCGGGTAGATGATGGGACCCATGTGCCATGCAGCTTGAGAAGTTCATCACTTGGGATGTGGATATGACACTTGACAGAGCTCAAAGAGTTCCAACGCGATGTTCTGATTTGTGCAATCTGTTTTTTTTACCAGAAGATGTTTCATGAACTTTTTTGAAGACGGAATCCAATAGTAATGCTGAGGAATTTTCTGATTTTTACCAGAAGATGTTTCATGGACTTTTTTGAAGACGGAATCCAATAGTAATGCTGAGGAATTGTCTGATGCGAAGAGGATTCTGAATTTCATGACGCGTTTCAAGCAAAAGGCCTGTTTGCGAAAGCACTGCATGTGCACTAAGTTCGCTGGCATGAGCAGCGAATCGTCTGTGCTATTTGCATTGATCTTTCTCATCGAGTGTTGTATTTCATGCCAATCCCATTTAGATGTCCCACATCCACATCCTAGCTGCTATCTGTGCTCTTGGAGATCGGACACCGACTGCAAGTCTGGCACGGGTGGAAACCAACAGACAAAGAAACCCGCAGGAAAATGATAAAATTACTTAGACTACATAAAATTATCGAGCAAAGGCGCGTTCATCACAGGTCATCAACTCCCAGAATGAATCCGCGATCCGCGGGTGCAATGGTCCATCTGTATATGATTCACCGGTGAGGTACAGTTGCAACCTTTGCACGAGCGGTCTTTAAAGTCCACGAGCGGTACGATTGCCATTTTTTGTTATAGATATCGCTCCAGTTTTGTGCTCAAGGAGGCCTGCTTCTTCATGTACCAAGACCAATTCTACTAGCCTTCCTCATTCTTTTGGATTTGGTCCGGCCCGTTGATCTTTTACAAATTGCTATCCGTATCGGATCCTCCTATGTTTGGCGGTTGTCTTCTGAATCTACATAAGTGGGAGTTCAATATCAGGCAAGATTGCGTGTGGCGTTTACTCGTGCTAAATCATCCCCGTGGATGTATTGAGTTTGTGTCTGCCGAGTCTCAATCGTGACTTTATGTGATTCTGCTCCATCGTGATGTCTTAAACTCCGATGACGTTGTCAATTAGGTGCTTGTGGGGAATCCTTGCTTCTACTTTGTGAGTGAGTCATTTTCACATGCGAAGGGCCGGGGCCTTTTTCGCGGCAAGGCATTTCGCAAGTCATACTCGGGTCAAAGCCAGGTGACCCAAACATGTCTAGGGTGCATTCCCCCAGTGTGCACGGCGCACGGATCCAAAAAGCGAGGATCCGACCGGTTTAAGCCGTTGAACACCTGTATGATAACCCCTAGTGAAATTGACACCCCCCTGTTATGTTCTTCCCTGTTTGTCTTTTCTATCTTCTTTTGACACAGTTCGCCAATTTTTCTTTGGACCTTATTGACAGCCCCCGTAGTATATGTCTCTGGCCCCAGAGCGACCAGACCGCGATCCGACATCGCGAACAGTGAGACCGCTCGCCTGGGCGAAACGCAGGCAGGTATGGTTCACAGAAGCTTCACTCGTCAACTCGACCGAGCTCCAGAGCTCGCAGTGCGTCGAGGGCGCGTGGTAGTTAATGCCCACACAGCCGAGCGTCCCTAGCGCCATGCGGAAGAAAACACCGGCAGGGCCGGTGTTTGTGGGGAATTGAAACGGTTTTTTGACAGCACAGTGCCAAGGGAGGCTTAGCCTGGGGTCCAATCGAAGTGCGAAGCAAACAAAGCACCAAATGATCCTCGGCTATGCTCCGTGCTCTCCGCAAAAAGAACAAAATACCGGGTTCAAGCAGGTCCAACCCCAGGTTCTTTTGTAATGCTCTAAAGATATATAATTGGTTCGTAAGTCCGGTCGCCTCGACATAGATCCTGCTATTGAGCCAAGCTTTTCACCCTGCCTTGACACAACATCTTGCAGGCACCGATATTGGCCGCGGAAAAGATCCTTAGCCATGCTTGCCCGTCCCAAACTCTGGGGAAGAGTTTCCAAGTCATCCCTCTTTTCAAACTACATTCATCGTGGCAGGGATTTTAATTGACCGAGACCGAAATGGTCAACTCTTGGTCCAACTAGCTGAATGGTTTGGGTCTTTGACTCCGACTGCTGCCTCAACTAGCTATCCAGCCTCCCTCATGAAACATATAAGCAGCCCCGAAAATGTGAGATTCTCAAGACAAATGCTCTCCACCCTAGCGATGGTACTGAAGGCAGAAAATAGCCTCCCTGCTGTTCCACCAAGAGACTCCCTGTCGGTGTCGGTATTGGCGGCCTCATCGGCCTCCACAGCCCTGCAGGTGCGGCCAGTACCTCCATCCACAGGCACGAAGGCTCCAAAGGTGTCATCGTCCAACTCGGTACCTGACGTGGACCGAGCAGATTCCCTCATTTCCGCCCCGGGGTAGGCATTGGTCCACATGTGCAACAGCCCATGGGGTTTTGAGGGTTCCACCTCTGGACATCCATCGGACCCCCGGCGTTCCAAGCCAAGCCACTCGGACGCGACCATTGAAGGAGACTTACGGGCCCATCTAAGCAGACTTCTGGAGGACTTGCGCTTTGGCAACTCCACCACAATGCTAACATGGCGATTTTAAGCACCATGGTGCCCAAGCAACACGGCACCCAAGCCCCCCAGGGCGGCAGAGCCCTGCAGTAGAGCCGACTGGCGATATCAACAGCCCTGCGCATCAAAGTTAGGCAGTTGGGGTTTTTGGCATACAAATCAACCAACTTGTGGAAATTGATTTAAGTCCACTGCCCATGGTGTTTCCATGGCAGCTGATCCCGCACCATTCTGACACATGTTTTTCCACCTCGAGCCCAAACCACCGGCACGTTGGATCCTGAACATGCAGATCCAGACCACACACGATGTCTGTTTTTGGTGTTTGTTGTTCAGACATTTGAAACAAAAAAACGTGTTTTATAATGTTGTTTGTTTTTTTAGTTTAATGAAAAAAAATATAGTAGAATGTTTTAGGTTGATGTTTATTACTTTTATTATCAATATCAATTAATAATAGTTTAACTTCATATGTTTATTTATCAGATCGAACATTAGAAATACCCGAACAAGATTTTGCGTGTGGAATATCTGATAATGGTGATTGCCACCAGGATAGTCCTTGGAAAACGGCTTTCTTACACAGGAAGCCCAAGACATGAATGGATCGTCAAAGACCACAAGCCAAGAAGCCAATGACCCAGACACGGGCGCCGGATGTCCATTGCCACTGCACCTCAGCAAGGACAGGCACACAACAGTGGCCAAGAAGGAGCAGCCGCTGTTCGTGAGAACCTCATTTTTGGTTGTGCCTCAGCTGAACGTTCAGCCTAATGCTAGTCCTTCACAATGGCTTCTTGGATAACAGCCACACTTCCCTGGTGACCTTCTGCGCTCCAATCGCCACTGCATCTTGAAGGTTCCAAGGGCTTTGAGAAGGAACTACAAAAGAGGGCGACTGCCCGAATGGCTATCATCCAGACTGATGCTGATCGCAGGCTCAGACGTGGTCTTCTTCGTCGCTACTTTGGCAACAGTGCTCAGTTTCACCCAGGGCAACTGTGTTTCTGTTGGAGAGATGCCGAAGCCTCCGACTTTATCAAGATTCACTGGAAAGGCCCTGCTCGTGCTCTGATGAAAGAAGATGACAGTGAAGGCCGACCACAACTACTCTGGATCAGCCACAAGTCCCAACTGCTTGATGCGCACCTCACCACCTACGACCAGCCATCGACCAAGACACCAGCACCCTCATCGAGGGACTCCAGCATGCCAGACTCAAGGATCTTTGTCGAGATTCGCGCAACCTAATTCAGAACCCAAGACCTCTCATGCAGCGCAGGATGAAACCAAGGTTGATTGGTGTCTGGGAAGCAGTTGAACACTAGTGGAGTTAGCAGCATTGTCAAATCTGAGAGATAGCATCAAGGAAAGACGCAACCATTCTTACATTTCCACACCGGCATGTTGAACCATTGTGTTCGTGCATGTGCAGTCCTTTGTCAGAAACAGATAGCGGACATTAAGCTTCCAGGAGTCGAAAAGGATGTTTTTAACGCTGAAAAGTCTGTGCCCATTGAGCTGGCAGGTGCGCCCGCTGTTGTCCCTACAGGATGCCGGGCGCCATCAAGCACCTTCAGAATCTCTTTGGGTCCAAGGCAAAGAAGTTTCTCGACTTTGTGGCTATTTTCCACATTGTTGTGGAAAGTAGATGCTTTAACATGTTTACAGAACAGTTTGGAACCTTTGGGAGACATCTCCCTAGGTTTTTTACAAGTTTGTTACGACGGTAACATATTTGGCTCAAGTGTGCGGCAGAAAGGGTGCGTTGCGAGTGTCTATACTCTCGTGTTTCTTTCTTTTCGGTTCGGTCGTCGTGCATACACTCAACTTACAAGACAGTTTTTCACGCTGAGAGCTTGCAAGGAAGGTTTTCTTTTTCGTGAGTTTGTGTGTCAAACTTTCACGTGGTAGCGGAGCTTTTGTGCTCCCTATCACAGGCGTCTTGCTTCATCTCGATACCCAGCGTGGGTGGCCAACGCTGTCAAAGAAGTCGTGCGCGAAGCCAGGCTGTGAACCTCCAAAGCAACACTGTCGGCTGTGTCAAGTGTGGGTGTGGGCTGAAATTGTGAAAACCGGTATTTGGAAGAAACGACCACACCTCACCTAACGCCTCAAAACAATATTGGCAATGACCAACTTCAGCTGAACGAACTCTCTGATGATCATTTGTCTGCAAGGCGTTTCAGCACCGAAAGTGAACAGTATTTGTTCAGCTAGTCCGGTCAAAGTCTATTGTGTGTGGCTGTTGCATCCTCAGATTTGTGAGTGACTAGTGCAATTCGATTGGCGGGCGGCGGCGATGAGTTCGCTTCTTAGGGCTCCGCAGCTTTGTGTGCACGGGCTGTTGAAGGGACCACGGGACGAGTGTAGGCTTGTTGGAACCTACTGCAGACTGCAGTCTAATTGTGGGTGGCATTCCAGTTCCTTTTCACCAAATAGCCAGAGGTGTACGGTTTTTACTTCCTCGTCAGACAGGCGCCTGAACACTTGAGAAAAGTCTAA